AGTAACACATAGTGTAGTATCAGTAGTAGATGGTTCTATAGCAGTAGTTGATAATGCAGAAGCAGTAGTAGAAGGTGAAGTATGAGTTATAGATGTTGTAGTATCAGGAACACAAAGTGTAGTATCAGTAGTAGATGGTGCAGTCGAAGTAGTAGATGGGCAGTAGTATTTAGTGTAGTATCAGTACTATATGTGGTAGTAGAAATAGATAATGGAATCGCAGTAGTACATGGTGTAGTATCAGTTGTAGGTGTTGCAGTATCATTAGAACTACATGATACACACATGGTACTGTAGTAGATGATACAGTAGCAGTAGTACACGGTGTAAAAGAGGTAGTAGATGATACGGTAGCAGCAGTAGATGGTGTAGTGTCAGTGGTACATGGTGCAGTATCAGTAGTAGATGGTATATATATCTATATGTGGTAGTAGAAATAGTTGATGGAATAGCAGTAGTACATGGTGTAGTATCAGTTATAGGTGTTGCAGTATCATTAGAACTACATGATACACACATGGTACTGTAGTAGATGGTACAGCAGCAGCAGTAGATGGTGTAGAAGAGGTAGTAAATGATACGGTAGCAGCAGTAGATGGTGTAGTGTCAGTGGTACATGGTGCAGTATCAGTAGTAGATGTGTTTATTCACCTGTGTTGCTGTAATATTTGGATGTGGGCAGTGATGCGTTCAGGCAGCCGCTGCTCTGTGGGATTTCACGGAACTCTCAGTTAGAGCTTCTGTCATCCATCTGGCGGCTAACAGACTGCTCTGCCTGCAGCTCCTGAGATCCTGCGGGGAAATGCCTACGGCCCCGAGGTGGACATGTGGTCGGTGGGCGTCATCCTCTACATCCTGTGAGTCCAACACCTCGCTGCACACAACACACACTGAACTGATTCATTACTGACTCATTCTCTCATTCTTGTCAGTATAGATCTCATATCTGTGTTTTATGGTCTTCCGTTTGTCTCACAGGAGCCATTAAAGGCGATGACATAATGTGAAACACTGCATCCTGTTTATCTGTTCTCTTCAGACATTAATTGGGCGTTAATGGTGCCTTCAGATGGCTTTGATGTAGCAGCAGAGTCGATAACAACACACCGCTGTGGTTCCTCTTCTAGATGTCATGTGGCATAATTGGCATCATTTTGCAGACTCCAAGCCTTTTATCTATTTCTTGTCTTCTTATTTTAGCATTGTCCCATGTTAAGGCTCAACAACTGATGAATAATTTATATCAAGATTTAGATTCTATGCATTATTGATAATAATCCAGTAATATTTTAACATTTTAAAAAATTAGGTTGTATAATACTTTCATTTTTGGTACTTTGCCGAATATGCCAACACAGGGTGTTTTAACACTTTACAGATTGTCCTGTAATGTTTATTTTTGTGACTAATTTCTGAGCCAACGTGTTCATCATGAGTTGAAAGACAGCCATGTTGTGAATTCCGGTCACCTGAACCTCTAACTGTGAGTTCAACTACTGCTTCCTGCTCACCAGACTCTGTGGATTTGAGCCCTTCTTTGACCCGCGGGGGGATCAGTACATGTACAGCCGCATCCTCAACTGCGACTATGAGTTCGTGTCCCCCTGGTGGGACGAGGTCTCCCTCAATGCCAAGGATCTGGTGAGTTCTTCCGCTGCACTGACATTTTCAAGTAACATTGAACTTGAACGAAGATGGAACTCGACACTTGCTTGGAATGAGTTGAGACGTAACTTGTACTTGTCTGGAATGAATAATTCTTATGTTGAACTTTCCTGTGATAACATCAGATTTGTCTTTAATGACTCGAGACCTAATAGCTCGACACCTCAAGGACTTATCTAAAATAACCTGAATATATTCTGAGATGACTTAGGACACAGTTGGATCGCGCTGTGAATGACTGTTGTACTTGTCTGGTAGGACTTGAGACTTAAAGGTCCCACATTGTTCCCCTTTTCAGCAAATTACAACAGCTGACACAAAAACACAGTCACCCTCCCATTCCTTGTTTGCAGGCTTAAAATCAATCTTAAGGTTTCCACCATCTCTGAAGGTCCCACAGCCTTCCAGTTTCAACAGAGCTCTGACCTGTGCACGTTAGCCACATTCGCTGCTAACAATTCCCTTCAAAAATAAATGTAATCCACTGGATCTTCAGTTCCTCAGAACAGACGGGAGCGCATGAAGACTCTCATGTTCACTGTTGCAGCCGACAGCAAAACATTTGGTGTGCTTTAGTTCTATCTGAGACAGTTTAATGTTAGCAGAAGCAGCTTTGCAAAGTCAAGTAACTGTGAGGACTGTGAGGTAGCTACGTATTCTGAATGACTCACGTCGGAAGCAGCAGGCAGTGAGGGGGCAGGATTATGCACATTTTTAACTTCATTTACCTTCTCTTCAATTTATACCTAAATACTAAATAAAGATCTTACAGGCCTGTAAAGCTAGAAGGCCATACAAGGACAGAAAAAACACAAGTGTATTTTCACCTTATGGGACCTTTAATGTGGGACTTGAAGTTGTCTGGAAAAGACTTGGGCTTGGATAGACTTGACCCTGACTTGAAGGACTTGAGGAGTCTGAGCTCTGTCCTGTCCCTGTTGGCCTGTCTGCAGGTCAGTAAGCTGATCGTTCTCGACCCTCACAAGCGGCTCAGCGTGCGGGAGGCCCTGCAGCACCCCTGGGTGCTGGGTAAAGCTGCCCGGTTCTCCCACATGGACACCACCCAGAGAAAGCTGCAGGAGTTCAACGCTCGACGCAAACTTAAGGTTAGGCTCGATGATACTGAAAGTTCTATACTGTGTTAGGTGGTTTTTATTTACCGTAAATTCTGGACTATAAGCCGCTACGTTTTTCACACACTTTGAACACTGCGGCTTAAACAATGATGCGGCTAATTCGTGGATTTTTACAAGTTTTACGAATTTGCCTCGAGACAAAAGTGACATTGAGAGCGACAACAAAAGAGAGACTGAGGAAGTGTGTGATGAAGTCTCTCTGAGGCTGTTCAACTCTGACACTGAAGAAGACGACTTTAGTGGTTTTAGTGCAGGAGGAAGATGAAGATAGAGATCAATGACTTTTCCTGGTAGGCCACTGTATTTTTATTTTTTTTAACCAGCCGCGTTACAGGCACTGTTCGGAAAAAAAACATTTACTGTATTGTATTGTGTATGTTACTGGTTCGTATTTAATTAAAAGTTTTAAAAAAATACATCTTTCTGTGTAAATATCTCATGTTACAATGTGGACACCTGCAGCTTATAGACAAGTGCGACTATATATGTTCAAAACCTGTTTTCTTTTTAATGTTAGTGAGTGCGACTTATATTCAAGTGCGCTTAATAGTCCAGTGGTTACGGTACAGTCTTTTGGAAACTCAACAGTATCACAGAGCTTAACACAGTAATTGACTTTGGGGATGTCAAAGGTCCCTCTACATTTTTAACAAACTAGTTTGTGCGACATGTTGTTCAGCCACATCTTTACTTGTATCGTTGATACCCGTTGTTCCACACTGGGAGGCGAGGTCAACATTCTGCTGTCACATCGAGGCGTGAGATGTTATGATTGGTGCAAATAGAGATAACACATATTTTCATTCGGTCACATATACTTGTGTGAAGAATGCAAAAGCAGAGCTGAGATAGAAGCGCACCATTTCTTCTTTTCTCATCACGAAAATGAAAAAAATCACTTTGACCTGAAACCCAATTCCATCTTCAGAAAGGTTTTTTTTTTTAAACTTCAGGATGAGATCTTAATCTGCTGCCTGATTGTCTGACTAGTAGCCACTTAGAAAACTGAATGTAGCGTAGAGGTATACCTGAGCGCAGCGTGACAAACTCAGCTGGAGGAGGAAGGTTGAAATAAAATTAAAAAAAGGATCAAATCGAGTCCCATTTAGATGAAAATAGACAAAGTATTCCCTGGTTCTTTGTAATTTAGGTTAGCATTTAGGATGGTATTTTAAACTTGTTCAGATTCAGGCTTAGTGTAAGGATAGTGTAACAGACAGGGACATTCAGCAGGGCACAAATACATCTGCTTTGATACCTTCAGATCTTTGAAGACTCAGATTTTGTCTGAGAATCACTACATATTTAAATTTGCTTTAGTATCATAGTAATCCAGGTATGGGTGTCTCGACATCAGTGGGTACATTACAAACAGGAGCTGCTAATGTCTCAGTGTAGCCACTCCACCTTCCCTACAGACAACTTCTGTCTACGTGACGCGAAAAACCTAGCTACTAATTTGCTGTGTTGGCTAAACCACGTGTGTTTTCTGTGTGTATGTGTGTCGGCAGGCTGCCATGAAGGCCGTCGTGGCCACCAGTCGGATGCATGAGGGCTCGCGGCGTCGCACCGACAGCTGCGAGATTCCAGGTTCGGGGACTTCTCGGCAGAGCAGCATGCAGCAGGACCCGCCTCCTGAGTCCAAAAGTCCCGCCACTGAAGACAAAAAGGCTCCATCCCCGGACCAGCAGCTGCCGCAGGAAGTTGAATCAAAGTCTGCCGACCAAAGTGCCCTCAGCCCCTCCCCTCCATGCAGCCCAAAACCGCCAAGCTCCGATGCCACGCCCACAGGCCCCGCCCCCACCAGACCGCCGCTGCGTGTTGACGGGATGCGACAGGCGTCCGTCATCCCCAAAAGCATGTTGGTCCAACCGCGACTGCCGCAGAAAAGCTGCTCTGTCATAGAGGCCACGCCCAGAGTTGAGGCCACGCCCCCGAGTCCCAACAATCTCAGCAATGGCTTCACAGCAGGGGCGGAGCCTGCCAGTAAGACCGCCCACTGCCAGTGATTACTGTTTTACTGTCATGCAAGCATCACACAGCTGAGCTCTTTACAAACATCTAAACTAACTTATTGGGACCAAATTACACAAGAACCAAAAGCTTCCATAACACCCAGCTAACATTTAACCAGTATCACCTGTTCTGTAGCTCAGCTGTCAGCTAACAGGCTAACAGGCTAACGTGCTACTGACTCACTGAGGGTTTGTTGGATGTTTCTACAGCTTCTGGTTTGGAGGCTGGAGATAAAGAAAAAACATTTGTCTCATATCAGGACTTATCACATCTGTTGCTGTGGTGAGGAAAACAACACAGAGGTTTCTACGTGGACAAAGCGTAATTCCTCATTTAGATAATAAAACATTAAAAATTCATCAGTCTTTAGTCAAATATAAAATTATATACACATTTTTTACAAGACAAGTATAGGCTTGTCAAAGGGAGTTAGCAATATGCTAGTTTTCTAGCTGCAAGCCAGACATCCAAATTTTCTGCAGAATTGTGGCACAAAAACATTATTTTACATAAAGAGTACAGTATGGCTAACACTTCAAAGTGATAACTAACAATATGGATGAACATTTGCAATTGTTAAGTGAACAAACTGCTCCTATAACTAGCAAAAAGTGTTTTTACATGACATAAACAAACATTGATTCTGGTAATGCTTCCTTTAAGTGAAACTTGTGAGCTTGTGATTAGGACACAGGAAGCCATGTACACCACATGCTTGGCGTCCAAGTGCCGTAAAAGTCTTGAGAAGACCAACATGCATTTATTTGTCACTAACTACAAGCCACAGCTAACTTGCTAACCATTTAGCTAGCAAGTAAGCAGGTAACATCTTGTAGGAAATGCAAAGACAATGAAAAGATTAGTCCATTGGGAATATCAGTGTTTCATCAAACACTAAGAAATTTAACCACCAAAATTCTAAATCCTAATCTTAAAGCATATGATTTACTGATAGAATTTAATGTCACAAACTAACAACAAAGACTCCTGCTAACTTCTTGACTGTTGGTAGCATCTCTTAGCAAGCTTGTTAGATAATAGTTTGGGTAAATAAATGCTATACACCCTTAAAAACTGGACGTGGTAAAACTTGGTAATTCAAAATACCATAATTTGTTCATCAACAATGACTGGCTGTAGCACATCTAGGCTAGCTGATATGTTATCCATTAGCATTCCTGCTACAGCAGTTCACCAACCAGACCAGACTCCACATATTATTGCAAAGACACATCACGGTGTATTTTGAATTAATTATAAGAAAATGCTCAGAAAACACAGTTTGTCCCAAAACTGCTGTGTTTGTTTTCCTCACCACAGAAATAATCAGCAGCGCTACTGCTGCACAAACAAATGAACATGTTTACAACCAAAATGAAGCGCTGCATTAGTGGCATTGATCTGTGTTTGGATATATTATGTGGATGATGGTGTCTGATCACAGACCTCCTCAAGGAAAACTTCAGTATTATTCAAAATAGGAATTACTCTCATAATTGTGTGCTGACTTTGCAATTTGTTACCAGAGCGACTCAGGAAACTCTTGTAAAACAATGTGTATCAGGACTTTTAAAGTAAATTTTAGGCTAAAGAAATCATTTAACTTCAAAATAAATAAACACAGACAGCAAGGATTCACATAAATTAGCTACTGTTGCATAAGATGTAGCCCAAAATCACAATTTACAAATGCACACCTCCAGTTGTGGACTGATTGTATGTATTCTGGGTGCATTTATGTTGCAGTGTATGCAGTGAGGAATGGTGGTCAGTCATTCTCACTGATGAATCCTGCTACATTCAGAACAGCAAATTGATTGCTCCCCGGGTCATGATTGGTCTGCAGTGCTTCATTCTGGTTGCAAACCTGCTGTATTAGCTCTGACGTCCATACAGTCCATATTCTGTTTGGTCTGGAGTTTACTGCCATACTAAAGGAATAGTTCAATATTTTGCACTGTACACTTTTATTCACTACTATGGTAGACTTTTGGATGGGAAATGCTCTCATGTATGTGTGTTAAGTAGAGCTGGAGTCAGCATGTGGTTAGCATAGCTTAGCATTAAGACAGGGAAAACAGCTGACATGGCTCTGTCCAAAGTTTCAAAGAGTTTTAGCAAATTTTGCGGGTTTAGATCAGAGTTTTGTTGTGTCAAATTGAGCGGTGGACAGAAACATGCCCAATGTCTTGTTACAGGCTAGTGTCACCCGTGATATCCTTAGTTTTCCATTTCTACAATGGTTTCATATTTCACACAGTGTTCTGGAATGAATCGTCTGTAGGCCTGTTGTGACTGAAGGTTTGGATTCATTTCCACAGGCATCAACAAAATGAAGCTGAAATCCAGCTTTTGGCCAACAGCTGCACTCAAATCAAATCAAATCAAGTCTATTTATTTAAATAGCACATTGTACAGCACCCACAGTTGACCAGAGTGCTGGTCATGTTATAAGACAGGCAACAACAAAAATAAAAGACCAAGAAAAGGAGAAGAACTTCTAAACTCAAGCTTGAAAACAAAATAAAAATATTTCAAACTAAAAGAATAAGACTTAAACATTGTGCTGTCAGTGGGGTTGTCTGTGCTGCAGGGCATCATGAAGTACAGGCAACATGCATGTAGATTTTTTTGGCTGATGCATTGCATGAATAAATGGGTTTAGCAAATAAAAATCCTCTAGAAACAAAACTATGAATCTAGCGTATCAGGATCATAATGCAGCTGTGGTCTGTGTATCATCAAATAATCTCATCTGTTTCTGTTTCATTGTTTCAGAACAAAAACTGGAAAAACTGTCATATGTCAAAATCAAAAAAATTAGAAAAAAGAGTATTTGATGATAACCAGACCAGCAAGCTTTCACAAATGAAAAAATGCATCCAATGTTTTAGGAGAAATTAACAAGTAAAGAGCGGCTCTACAGCTCACCTATGAACAGCTTGTTTGTAAGAACCAACATTAATAGGTGGGTGGACACACTGCTGTTCCTCTATAAACCCCTCTCTGTGATTTTTATATAATCTGGCAGGTTTATACTTAACACGCAAACATGAGACCGAATTCTGAGTGTTTGTGAACGTATTGAACTGTTCCTGTAACTTCTGATGTGGGACAAACACAGACTCTGGTCTCCTCTCCGGCTTCTTCTTCTTCTTGTCCTCACACTGAAAGTGAACTTTTCCTCGGACGCTCAGGACGGAGCTGATTGATTGTATTTTGTTAAACTCTGGCGACGCGGCACTCGGCTGCGCGGACAGACGTGAAGGACGAGGAGTTTTTCTGCTTCTTCTTCTGCATCCCTTTTAGTCTTCGCAGCATGTGCGCTCAGACGCGTAAGACTTTAACACTCTGAGAGGAGGAACAGGAGATTTCTGGTTCTCGAGGAGTTTTTTATCCTTTCTACTCTTTACTGTTGACACCCGCTGACTTGATTACGCAGCTGTATGAGTAGATAGTGTAGCTCCAGTCTGTAGCGTTCAGGTAAGTAACTCGTTGTGTTTGTGAGCTTCTAGTAAAAACGTTGTGTTGTTTACACTTTATCAGCGGTGATGATGCTCTCCTGTTTGCACTGTACATACGGTAGTTTGGTTTTAGACACGTTATTACTGACATCTTTACTGCTCCACTCGACCGGAGACACGTTCAGTGTTCAAGGCCCCAAAAATACCAAATTTGATCTTTGACCTTTGTTGGAAACCCTTTCATCTGATCTGAAACCACACGTTCTACCTCTTTTTGTACAGGGGCTTCCAAAATGAATTAAAGTGACGCATCTGGAAAGAAAATAAGACAAGACAAGCAGATGGAGCTGATCCCAATCAGAAAAAAAATCATAAATGATAAAGATATGGTGGCCAAGGCATTCCAAATGGGACCGCAGCTTGAGAAAAGAGAAGCAAGTTGAGATCTATAGAACCAGAGTTCATTCAAAATATTCCCAATATTAGACTTATTCAGTCCCTGTGTGACTACGCTGACATATATTTTACCAGACGTCACTGAAAGTACAAACAATTTTACAACATTAAACTAAATAAAACCAATTCAAACTCCTATTTAAAAAAAAAACTCTTCACACTGAGAACAACAAAGCTGCATTACAGAAACATCTGGAAAGGAGAGTAACACAGCTGGCTGACAACAATCATAATTCATGACAGAATCAGTGCAAATTCTGAGCTTCAGGCCTCAACGAGCAGCATTTAGTAAAGTCTTAGTTTTATCATTGGATTAACTCAAAGGCTGAATGACAACAGGCTCCAGTCTTTGTGTTATCAGGTCGATCAGAAGTCGTCTCGGCCTGCTGTTCTTTTTGTTCTGTCTCAGCCACCGTATGCAATGATTGGATTGTGAAGAGGAAAACATTTGTCCTTTAAGGGCTTTTCTTTTTAAAGAGGAACCAAACCTCCCTACAGAGCTCCCAAAGCCCTGAAAAAAAAACTCTTTTCTTTAAATGTTGGTGACATCAGCGGACATCTGGTGCACAAGAATAAAAAATATCATCCGTCAGGACTAAAGGCTGAATCTGTTAACCTCCATCTCTCCTTCAGTGTCATTTTCTAATCTATATATACAAAAAATCAAATAACACAACATGTTAGAAAGTCTCACATTGTTCTGCATATCTGCTTGAAAATGATTTAAGCAGTAAATCACACTGAAAAACTAATAAATCATTTTTAATACCTGCTGATCAAGGTTCAGGGCGCATAAATTTCATTAGTTATACATCAGAAATTATTGTTATAAACAGCTGGAAACATAATATAACAACAAATTAAAGTTTAGTTCGAGCCTGCTGGTTTTCAATCAGGCTTTCGTTAAAAAGTTTACGGGTCCAACATGCATTAAAAACATTAATTAACCAAAAATGAAATTAAAACCAAAAATAGACACAAACACAGAGAAAATAGTTTCAGGTAGAAGAACCTCCGTACACTTCTTGTCATATAATTTTGACACAGTTTTAATCTGACAGCTGGGTTTCTGA